AGAGTTGCTGCAGGTCGTGTATAGGGATGGTTAGGTCGGTCCTGGTCCGGTCCTGGTCCTGGGACCTATAAGTCCTATTGAACGGACCTGCGGACCAGGTCCTATTAGGACCAGTCCTGGACCTGGTCCCAGAACCTGGTCCTGACTAAGTTATTTATAGATTTTATGAATTTTAGTAATAATTAAAGGGTAACATTATTTGACGACCCGTCACCATGGCAATACTCAAATTTTTTTTTAGTTGTACTACGTAATTTTTATACTTTAATTTTTATGACATTTATAATAATTTGTAACCGTAATTTGAATAGCAATTATAGGTATTCATGAACGAAATTTGACTCATTTTTTATTGGATTTATTCATATACTGTACTACTGTACTTCGTTAGCTTTAATAGTAATAATAACAGTAAATCACATGTGATTAGAAGCATATTAACGCATTTGAATAAAGCTTACCTTTCAAACACTTCATTCTCTTTATTAGCATTATCCAATTTTTCCTTACAAGTTTTGCTATTATGTCCCTTTTGTTTACACAATTTACATGTGTATTGAGTTTTAGTATTAGATAACTCTAAAGTATTTTTCATTCTCTTGTTTGATTTAGGACGACCTTTTGGCCTTCTTTCAACAGGATTTCGAATATTCATGATATTATCACTTTCGCCGTTGTTATTACTGTTACTAACACCACCATTACTATTATCAACAACAATTCTTGGCTGTAATTTTTTTTGAATTGACAGAAAAACCTCACAAAGTTCTCGGTAAGTATCCTCATTGTTGTTTTCAATTACATCAACCATTACTTTTCTTCCTAAACCCCAAAGTTCTCCAAACTTACGTTTTTTTGATATAGATTTAGTTATTTCAGTATTTATTGCCGAAGCTCCAACTTGAATAGCAGATCCATTTGAATTCAAAAATTGTGTTGGCAGAGAATGCTTCTTTTATGCCGACATTTTCATTGAAGAAATGGCAACAAATTCTTTATTTGATATATCAGTCCCTTGAAGTATATCTTTATACCAACGCTGGTTTACCAAACCAATGTGAAATCTAGCAGTAGACGTAAGAGTCATTACACGGTAAAAATGGCGACATGGATAACCATGAGTCTTGTTGATCATACACGTGCAGAGAAAGGTACCATTATTCAAAAGACATACAAAGTGGGATGTCTTTTGGCTTGTTAAATATACAACCTCCCATACTTCAAGAATCAATGAGGTATCTTCTAAAAATAAACTTATTTGTACTTGTGGGCAATCAAATAGGTTATCAATACATTGATTTGACTCGTCAAGTATCTAAGTAGTAGTTAATAAATTATTTTTTAAAAATTATTGCCGTTAGAAAGCAAATTAAGCTAAAATTAATAGCGTAAGTCTTACCATTTCCTTAGAATGCAAAATTTCAAGCTCAATTTCCACAGCATGATAATAAAGACTTAGTTCCATTTGTTCCTCCTGCTTCTTCATAATATTTGGCATTACAAATTCATTCAGCTGCTGCGCTACTGGTCCAAAAATAGATGTTGATACATTTTGAGGTCTGATTTGAGGTATAGTTTGATGCCAATTTATGAATTCGCAATAGTCAACTTCTTCTTGATATCTCTCTTCTAATGCATCAAATAATTCACATAATGAAAGGTTTGAATTTCCAAAAAGCCGTTTTAATACTGAATTTTCACCTTCATTGCGAGAAGTTGTTTGTGCACCAGCAGTAAAATATTTGCTAGTAAAAGCTCGTGCCCATGATTGAAAATTACATCCTAAAGACCTTATCAAATAATCTTTAGCTTGTGGGTAATTCTGTAGTAATATCTCCTACCTTTTATTGAATGAACAAATACATAAATTAATTACAATATACTTTCTATTAAAATCAATAAACAAATGAACAATTAAATTTATTTAATTTCAAAGCACAATAAACAAAATTCTACAATAGATGATATACTGTAAAACAATGGAAGAATTTGAATAGACTATGATAAAAAAATAATGGAGTCTAATGAAACAATGATAGAGTCTAGTGATTACAACAAAAAAATTAATGATGGAGTCTAATTAAAAAATGACAAAGTCTAATGATTACAATGAAAAGGTTAATGGAATTACAATAAAAAAACAATGGTAGGAATGGCAAAATTGTAAGTACAATAGAAAATTTGTAAAACAATTTAACACAATAAGTATACCTTTCGTTAAACTGTTTTTCTGTTAAACTGTTTCTTGTCATGTAAAAGTCCTTCATAAAATTATCAAAATTAGATCCAAGCTTCCCCTTTAATTGCTTTGGCAAGTTTTGGCCTATATGCCAAATACAATGCATATGAAAAGTATCAGGAAATAGTGTTGCAACAGCACCACTAACTGCTGGATCACTATCTGTAACAAAAACTTTCGGCGATATACCGGTAGCCTCTTTTACACATTGAAAAACCCATTCATATGAGAATTGTGTCTCATCATCAACAATTGCCTGAGCTACAATTCGTGTTTTCAAATTGTTATCAGGTGGAACAAAGATGGATAATGGTCGATTATAACGGTTAGTTTTACAAGTATTATCATGCATTATCACATCATGATAACGTAACCATAATATTTGTTGTTCTGGACTCATCCAAAAAAGATGAGTTAATGAAGAAGTAATAGGATCTAATTTCATTGAGACTACCCATCGAGGATCTTCTATTTTTTTTTTGTGGAGTCTTTTTAGCAAGATTCCCGCATCTGCTTCACCTGGTGTTGATTCACGACGAAATTTACTAATAGCATTATAAAGATCTGGTCTATGTATTCTAATTTTAAATTTTTCTCTAATAATTCGATATTGTATAGTTGCATCTGCCTTAGCAACAACTGTTAAAAAGCGAATTTCTTCCATAATCTCATCTGATAATTTTCGTAATGTAGGGACAAATTTAATTGCTGATGGATGAAGCTCATGACCGACATGTTGATCATGTAAAGTTGTGACCTCAAGACAACCTTTACTTTTTTTTGCCCAAATATTTACTCTCCATGGACATTCAACTCGGCAAGATGAAGTTTGTCTTTTCGATGATTTGGACTTAGCTTTTCCAGCATGGCGACACAAGTATGTTCGTTTTGTTATTTCTTGTGTTGTTTTATCTACCCTTCCTCCTCCACCAATTCTTACTCCATGGCCTTTGGTAGCAGCGTATTTTTTCATAAAATTTGCTACACTATTCCAATTATGAAAGGTCTTGCCAACATAAAGCTTCATAGTATCCTCCTCCTCCTCCTTCTCCTCTTCCTCCTCTTCCTCCTCTTCCTTCCCTTCGGCAATATCTTCAATTTCATATTCATTATCGGACATGCCATTTAAACTATAGTAACAAAAGGCATAGCTAATATCATTAGATATATTCTAACTACCTAAGAAAATCTTTATTACTTAATCTGTCAGTATCAGAAAATTCTTCCGCACTATCATATTTCAACAAAGCTTCTAATTCGGCGTCTTGAATGTTTTTTTCCATAATACACAATTGTAAGTTAAAAAACAAAGGTAAAGTGTGTGTAATTAGTTTTAAAAGAAGTAAACAAGCAGTTTATTGTCAAATAATCAAGGTAAAATATGTATTTTAGTTAAGAAATACAGGCCATTTATTCTGAATAAACGTGAATAAAACAAACAAGAGTGAAAAAAAAAAATTAGTTATTGTTATTTGGTAATACGATGGTCACGCGCGTGATTATTATGAATATGTACGCGTGTGATAATATGTGATAACTCGCGATCTATCATATGCATGATGTCATAAATATACGTGTAATACAAAATTATATGATTTATTTATAGGGGTCGCCATGGCAACCCGGGTCGCCAGCTACATTTTGCCATTATTTTATATATAATTTACTTTATACTTAAGTATAAATTTGTATTTTAAACTTCATTAATATACTTTTCTATAAATTAATTCTAATTTTAGCATTATATATATAAAAATCTGCTATAATAATTTTAATATTACTATTCTTTTTAATATAATATTATATTGTGTTTACTATTTATACAAATATAATTATATTGAATGCCAAAATAAGTTTAACAATCATATTTAATTGAATTAATTAAACTAATTATTATTAAAAATTTTTCTGCATTTAGTAAGTAATAAACTATTAAAATTCCACATAACTAAATTTCCAAAACCCTATAATAATTTATATAAAATATCTTCATTTTAATTAAAGGATTTTAACTGTGATATAAATTATTGATTTCTACACTAGATGTTAAAACACTTATTATTTTGTAATTGAAATGTTGTAATTAATACTATTATTATCCTCAAGTTTTTAAAAGTCATCATGCTATTGTAAGCATTTATATTTTATAATTTTGTAACTTGTAAATAATGTGACAACCACTAAATTAAACGTTTATTTATTTTTTACAAAAAGAAATTATTGGAGCAACAAGTGTTTTATTTTAATATTAATAAAAATTAAATCTAAGATATGTAAATATGGAAAACATTAGTGTTAAGTAATTCATCAGTAATTCAACAAAGTACAATCAGAAATTCTGGATAGATATTACGAAATTAAGATATGAATACTTTTGGTAAGGAAGCAGATTCAGATATTCGTTTTTTTTTTATTCGGATTTTATTAGCATCATAAATTATTGTCACTTATTATTATTATATCCAAAATATAATTATTGGGGAATAAAAAATTCTGTTAAACATTAGTGTTGACTAACATTATGTTAATTCTGGCTTACTTATATAAATTACGTAAAATTAAAAATGTACTATTTAAGAAAATTGTTGTGATTTGATTCCTTTTTTTTTGCAATTGTTATTATACAAGTTTAGTTATGTAAGCATACAATTTATTCTTATTTAACGTATTAATTTTGATGGTATTAATTATTTGACTAATATTTTTACATTCAAATACCATGTTATTAAATGCATAAATTTTTACGTAGATGGAATTACTTTTATTCCCATTCCATAGTATCATCAAATCCAAAAGTTTCTTCAAAATTTTCTAAAGTTATTACTTCAACCTATTTAAATTTACAGATTAATATATATAAAAATATGCGAAAATCCCAACTTTGAAAACATATACTTACACCAGGAATTTTGGGACAAAAAGGCATTTCTTTATTATGCGCTATAAGAATACAATGCCTTGGTGATTTAATAATATTAGCTTCAACTTCAAATGAATATGAAAACAATAATGCGTAATAAATTCTAGAAATATTGTTGTCGTTTTGTTTTTTTAACTATGTTTCAATAAATAAATGAGACTTTATTAATGTTTATTTATCAAAAGTCTTTAAAATCAACTGTAGCCTGTAGGTTATTTACCTTTCTCCACAAAAATAAATCGAAATAATGAAAATTAATCCCGCTTTCATCAAATGAATTATTACTATTATATAAATAATTATTAGTAAAAGAAAAATGAATATACAAAAAACTTCATATTAATACCTTTTTAAATCATAATCTATCAAAGCACTTAGATTATAGTTGCAGTATTTTATTTCCGGGTCCATTAGAATTTTCCACTCTACACCATTTTCCTTTTGCTAATGAAGAGCAAAAATATTTAGTTTATATAATATGCAGCACGTTTGTATTTATGTACAATGTTTCTTAATTCCTTACATATTCAATAACTTCAAAAATCCTTTGCAAGCCATTTTTTTCTTCCAGCAATACTCTTGTCGTAACAGATAAAATACCTCCTATTCATAATGAAAATAATGAAAATTGGTATTAAATATTATAATTTTATAACAAATAAGATTTCCTGTGACCTGAAACAAAGTACTCTTCGAATTTGATAGGTTCTTGTTGTTTGAAATCCCAGCCATATACTAGGAATTTACATTGCTCTTGATGTTTTAGTTTGATCAAGTTTGGCATGAAATTGATTTGATCCAACATTAAAACATGAACCTATATAAAATTCCATAACAAAGATTACTTTTTGATTCTTTTGTCACATATTTAAGTAGAAATAAATATTATTTCACACCAAAACCAAGTCCATTTTATCACAATCATAATTCGGAAAATAATTTGCTCCTAAAACCTTCATCACTGTGATTATACTATCTGTTTCGCCAAGTTTGGGTCTTGCGTATACGGTAAAGTTCGGTTTTTTTTTACATAACTTTGTTATGATATCATTATAATCACCAGTATGCAATTCCGTCTTTGCTTTACAATAATTTGTATCATAAGTTGTTTCATTATCAAGCGCCTTTATCAAAGGTTGTTGAATAAGCAAATAATTTTGCTTAATCTTAATATTCCTGGCCACGAGAAATAAATGTTCTTGATTGAATTGGTTCTTATATATCCATCGATAATCGGAAAATACGAAAAGATGTAATCCGTTATAATCGTTTTCCAGTCGAATAAACGCGACCTAAAATATTTATAAAATTATGATGATACAGAATTTTTAAAAAATAAATTCTTAATAATCAATACCAATTTATGAAACATCATATGATCCTGTTCATCTTTCAAATTGCCGCTTTCACATTCCATTATAAGAACATCACCTAGTTCTTTATCTTCACCTATCAAAGATAAAGCATATGACAATGGCACAGTATTAGCCATACAAAAAACGTTATTAGATCCTAGCTTATCCCTATAGAAGAATTGAGAAAAATTTTAGTACAATATAAAAATTAATTATTGAAGGAAACTACTTGATTTCTTACGAAATAGCATTATAACCTGGTCCTTCCTTTAAAGTCTTAATAATTACTTTTGCTACAAATTCTCTCGTTTTTCCCTTTAATAAAATGCCATTCCATTGCTTCCATTGCCTAAGAAGAAAAAAATAAATATATTACTAGTTTATAAACTATTATTTACTGCGCCACGTACAAGGTTTCCAACTGCCGTTTATTTGATGTTCGCAAGGCGCTCCTTAGAATGGGTTTGGGTGTAGCCTTGAGTTTTATTGGGCTATAATTATTTGTATTCTCAAGCTGTATCTCTTTTGTTAAAGTTTGTACTTGCAGAAATTCATCATTAGAAAAAGTTTTAGCGTTAACTAATTCTTGAGCAAATTTTACAGATTTCAATTTTGAATCATAATTATAGTTATCTGTGTTGTTTCTTGGTGAAGAATTAACAAAAGTAGTAGGACATGAATTTTGTTGCATAAATACTGTCTTATCTTCAGAATCCTGGTAGTCATTAGATACTATTTCATTATCTTTATTATTGGACTGAGCCTATTTTAATCAACGATTGAATTAAAGAAATTTACTAAAATTAATGAAATATTATATTAAAAACCTTACTTCTAATTCTTTTAGACGTTCTTCGCGTTCTTCCTTTTCTCTCTTTTGTTGAAATTTGAGTATCAGTCCTTCCGCACGTTTTATATTCTTCACAGGCTCCCATTGCGGCTCAAATGATTTATCTATAAAGACATTATAAATGAAATTTTGAATAAAATTTAACATATTTGCAAAATTTTAACTCTAAAAAAAATTTTTATCAAAAAAAAAAATACCTTCAAATACTACTTTTGCATATTGTTCACCAAATACAAATCTAATATCAATAATTTCACTAATATAAAGTGGTACTCTCTTATTTGATGAATTATCTGTCGCATTAATCAAACTTGAATTTTGTTGGTCAGATTCAATTGAAGCAATTAAAGGTAATGATTCTTTTGAAGAATCTTTAAGACTATAATAATATCGATTTATTTTTTAGAAATAAAATATATTGTTTAACAAAATTTGATAGTTATATATGATCCTAAGATACCTGGTTTTTGCTGGTTGTCTTCTTTTTAAAGGCATCTTGATAATAATAAAATCAAAGTTATTATTACAAAAAAGATATAAAGAAATATATAAATAAAATGGAATGATAATTTATTTAAAAAATAAGTAATGATTTCATCAAATTAATTACGGCTTAGTCTATATTTAAGTCTGCAAAATTTTTAAATGTCTTGTCATTATACTATTAATAATTACATAATGTAGTAATGTCATATCGTCATACTTTAGTTATCATATTAAATATTACATACTTTGATAGGTTTGAAAAAATTCTTGATTAATACGAACAAAATGGACCCAGAGAAGAAAAGAAAACGAGAAAACTCAAACGAAGAAAAAGTAGTCTTAAACATTGGCGGTATTAAAGTAAGAAAATATTTGTTGATAATTTAATGCTACGTTTTATTAAAAAAAGAAGATTGACATTTTCTCTTATCTATCGTTCAAGTATGAAACATTACAATCAACTTTGACAGCACGTCCTGATACACTTCTTGGAACCATGTTTCAAGAAAGGAATCAAATGATGCTCCATCCAACCAACAATAACGAATATTTCTTTGATAGGAATGGTCGGGCTTTTCATTATATTATGGAATTCTATCGTACCGGCAAGATAACATGGGATCCAATTAATTATCAACATCAACATCAATATCAAGCTGATGAAAATACAATTTGTTTTACAGTGAATAAACAAGAACTTGATGAAGAATTAGATTACTTTCAAATCCCGTTTACTAACTCGAAACTTCATCAAGTACACGCAAAACTTAGAGAAGATATTGATGAATTTGTGGATCTTATAATTGATTTGGTTTATGAAGGAATGAGAATGTGGGAAGAATACATTTTAATTCACGTGTATAAAAATCGGAAAAGCTTACACTTGGTTTGGTTCCCATGCCAAAGTGTATGTCGAAATGTGAAATTAACTCCGTTTTCTTTTAGTATCCTGTCACTTTTCCAAGATAAGTTTAGAGACAAATTAAAAGCTTCTCTTCCAGGATTACAGTACGGATACGAACTCGTTGCACAAAATAATAATATTTATTATTGTTTGGAATTGACCCCTAATTATAAATTTTAAAATCAAGTTAGGTAGGTTTATTTTTTTCACTGTCGCTTCACAAAATAAATTTAGGAGAAAAATTTAGCTATATATTCTAAAATAAAAGTTTTAAAGTATTCATAATAATCAAAATAACTTTTTGATGGTTAAAACGGCAAATCATAAATTACGAGTACATTCGTGTAACACAAAATTTTATACTACGCACAAACTTCATGTATATCGAATCGAAATCTTTAAACTTTCCTTCATATTAACACTTTATTTGCTATTTATTACATGAAACACCGTGAACTTGTTATTCTTTAATAACCCTAAAATAATGACAATAATAAATGGACGTTATTTTTGTAGGATTAATTTTGTAGTATTTAGACCAAGATCAAATGAAAGAACGGGCTATTCACAAATTTAAAAGAACGAATCAAAGATAATATAAATAATTCTCAGTTATTCTTGTATGTTACAGATACAGAGAAATAATCATCGTTATCTGCAACATAAATTTTTTACTAATCTAAACTGAAACGAGAAAAGATTTGCATATCAATATTTATGTGTTACCCAATTAAATTGGATAAACCAAAAAATTTTTGCTAATTTATGCTAATATAAACTGAAACATATTTGATGAATCGTAAAAGCAGATTAGCTTTACACGAAACTTACTTCTCCTTTTTTTTTTTGTTTTTTATTGTTATACATCTACTTGTTTCCCAGGTAAATTGAAAGATTTAAAATTTTTCCTTGAAACGATTCTAATTTGATTCTACATATTCACGTGATAAATACTGGATTTAATTGATCTATGCATGGATTGCATTGATTAGATAATGAATTATTAACGTAACACGACATTTTTATTTCATGGATTTAAATTCAAATTTCTAATATTGTAAAACAATATAACTTTTACGTGTAATAAATATTTAACGCGTTTCAAAAAATAAAAAAAAAAAATTTTTTTTCTTGAATGAAACTTTTAATTTAACTTCCTTTTTTTTTTAAAAAAAAAAAAAATTAATGCCAAGATAATTTTATGCATATACAAACATAATGTAAGATAATTGTGTAAAATTACATCGGTACAGGATGGAATTAAATATATGGTAAGCAAATCAATTTTTGATAAGAATGTATTGAAACAAAAAAAGTTTATCTTTAATGTTGTGTTACGTTACTGTTTATCCATATTTAAATTCAAAATGTTACCGCCAATTAATTAAAAAGGAAAGTGAATTCTTTATAAAATGAACTTGATTTTCCCATAACTAAAAAAAAAATAATTTTTTCTCTCTTTGGAAATTTTTAAAAAATGTCAACTAACAATAGTGATAATAATAATAATCAGGTTGCTAATGCTAATTCATTTTGGTATGAACCTTTATTAGATCGTGGTTTAGTTCCAGATTTTGTGCTTCGAATGGCGATTCGATCTTTATTAAAGGAAAGATTGGATTGGATTAATTTAGGTGAAGTGGAAAAAAATTGTCAAAGAAAATTTGACTTTGTTAATTCATTGAAAGAAAGACCCATTGCCGAACACACCGATAAAGCTAATGAACAGCATTATGAGGTAAGAATAATTAATTCGTGATATATATAGTTTAAATTATTAAAATTTTCTATTTTATAGGTTTCAACAGAATTTATAAAAGTTTGCTTGGGAAAAAGAATGAAATATTCTTCTTGTCTATTTCCTAAAGGTAAGTAACTATAGTTTTTACGTTCGAAAAATGATGAATTTAAAGTAATTTATATGTTATTTAGGAAACGAAAGCCTGGACATAGCAGAGGAAGCTATGTTAGAATCCTATTGCGTTAAAGCCCAAGTATCAGATGGAATGGAAATCCTTGATTTAGGTTGTGGTTGGGGAAGTTTAAGTTTGTATTTGTGCGAGGTATGATAATTAAGTGATTTTGATTATTTAATCTCGTTTGATACTTGTTTGATTTGAATAAAATCAATAATTTTGGTGTGTATTATAAAAAGAGATCCTAATTATAATCATTGTTGTCATCGTACCATTAAATCTATTTTTAGAAATATCCCAACGCAAAAATTACAGCATTATCGAATTCAAGCACTCAAAGAGAATACATTGAATCAATTGCAAAACAAAATGGCTTTGAAAATTTAAAAGTCATCACTGCAAATATCAAAGAATTTGATTTTGATTCCTCAAATCAGTAAGTATTTTGTTGTTGTTTTTTGCAAGTATAATAATCTGAAATTAAAATTTCCTTCCATAGATTTGATCGTATTATGACAGTTGAAATGTTTGAACATATGAAAAATTATGAATTTTTATTTGAGAAAATTTCAAAGTGGATAAAACCAAAGGGATTGTTATTTATTCATGTATTTTGTCATGTTGATCAACCATATGATTTTACCCTTGGAGATGGTTGGATGTCAAAATATTTTTTTACGGGTGGAACGATGCCTTCCGTTGATTTGTTTCTTTATTTTCAACGCCAATTACGTTTGGTTAATCAATGGGTTGTTAATGGTAAACATTATGGCAAAACATCTGAAGAATGGTTAAAGTTATTAGATAAAAATAAGAAACCCGCGATGGAATATCTTGCTAAAACTTATGGTAAGATAATTTAAATTTTTTGTAAATATTTATATATATACATATCATTAATAATTATATTGATATTTTTTTTTTTTTTAAAAAAAAAAAAACAGGAAAGGAAAATGCTGTTGTTTGGTATTACAGATGGAGAACATTTTATCTTGCTGTTGCTGAAATGTTTAATTATGATAATGGAAATATTTGGTGTGTTGGTCATTATTTGTTTGAAAAAGAATAATTTATTCTAATATAGATCGGGTTATTAAGATAGAATATCTAGTTTTTTTAAGGATTTTTTTTAGTGAATTCTTGTATAATATTAAAATAAAAATATTATTTCACACTGTACTGTGCCGAATCATTCATTAATGAGTAGTGAAAAACGATTGGATGATCATAATACTTTTATGTAAATCCACCATTATTTTTTTTTTTTTTTGCGAATTGCCCACGTGTTGAAGAGGAATAGTTCTATTTGATAAAATTTATTGTCAGTTTACTATTATTAAATTTCATGGATCTAACTTCTTATTGGATGTCGATCAATAATTTATTTCTTTAAGTCAACATTGCATAAATAATCGCAATAATAGCCATCTTAATATTCCACGCACATAATTTACAGTAACTTCGTACATAATTTACGGTACTTCGTTACTCAATATTTCCATTTTGAAATTTACATTTCATTCTCAAATTTTCCCAAAAAAGTATCTTGTATTGCCCTCATTTCCATAATTTTTTCACATATTCTTTTTCCATAGCATTCTCATACATTGAGATCATATCTCCCAACATTTCCTTTATGCATAATTAGATGTACGGGTAAGTAGCGTCTAAGGCTGAAATTTTGCGCTACTTTTTTGGCCGAAATTAATAAATATTTTTTTCGCCATGTTTATTCTTATTTAATCTCGTACAACCATCTAATCGATCATATATTGATAAGAAATGTTTTGGTTAAAGTAGAGATCCATTCTCAATATTCTTTTCATCTTAAATTCTTTTCTTTTTATTTTTACCTTCTAAAAAGAAATAATATTTTAAATTTTAATAAAATAGTATAAATTACAACATATATATGCATTATGCAACACAAAAGAAACTAATATTATTTGTGAGATATGATATAAATTATTTTTTTTTCCCTTGCATAAAAATTTACGAAAAATTCCGATAATTTTACACAAAAAAATCTTCGCGTCTTAGGCTTACCTCCGTGAAGCACAACAATAAGAAATTGGGGGAAATATGTATTTTTTTTTTTTTGTTTTAAAAAAAAAAAATTTTAATTTATTATTATTTATTAAAGTAACTATATTAAAATAAACAAGTTTTCTCCTTTTACGTAATCACTAATGTTAATTATAAAGTACATTATTAATAATTATAATTGGAAAGTTAAAAAAAAAAACTATTATATAGTACAAAATGAAAGAATGCAAATATATCACAAATAACTAATTTTACAATGGTATTGAAATGCGCTGACTTGATAGTTATGATGGTTAAGCCGTTAGAGGCTTTAAGCTTGACCTCGTAATATGCATGAATCGATTTTATGAATCTTCGCTCTACAAAGAATTATTTTGAACTTTTAACTAATAAATAAAAAAAAAAATAAATTGTGTTAATAAATGTAGTCCGTAAAAATTATTAAAAACAAAAAAAAAAATAAATTAAATTAAAATAAAATCAATTATAAAGTTTTATTCCCTATTCTCCAGCAAGTTAAAATAAATTTGAACATGCTTTGGTTTGTGAATAATCGATTACATTAAATTACAAAACGATCTATTACCGATACTTACATTATGACATAAAACTTGGAATACTTCGTAATCGTCGACAGCAAATTTAGGGGTATTCGTAATCGCATGTCTATAACATCTTGATTTAGCAGAACAATTTTCCTCATTAAATTGTCTTCTCATATCTAAATCAGTTTTACCAAAACAAGGACCAAAAGAAGGATCATCATAGATGGCCTCATTTCCAGGAGTGACGCGACTTAATTTTGCTTCGTCAACATTTCCACGATTACCAAAAGAAAATAAAAAACTATCTTTTGTATATTGCCAACGTTTTGTCTTTAAACTTCTCCAACCGATAGGATTATATCCACCAATAATTTGACCAGATCCACGAATTTTTAATACAACAACATTTGGACCTTTATAATCACATTTTTCATGAAATACTTTGGGTGTGAATCCATCTCTACTTCCTCTTAATAATAATTTAAATTCATATCTAACTCTGGTAGAATTATTTGGTGAATTCGTTTGTACTTCAATCCAATCAGGAATTTTTGATGCTTGTTGTGGTTTTATAAGAGCTGAATCGATTGAAATTATTGGTTTTCTTGGAGGTAAAAGAGAAAAATTTTCGAAATTTTCGGGATCGTTTTGAAAGTCTGTAATGGTTTGTTCTAATTCTAATGGTAAAATATCCTTTAAAGGCCAAATTTTATCATAAAATTCTCCTTTAGTAAATTCTGAAAATCTAATTAAGGGAATACATTCTTTTAATATATTACCCAAATCTTGTAAATCTTGATTATTCCAATTTAATAAATCTATTGAAATGGTAATATTAGTAGTAATATTATTATTAACAGTAATAGTGGTATCATTATTATTGTCATTATTATCATTATTATCATTATTATTAATATTATTATCATCAGAAGTATTGTTAATATAAGTTTCTTTTTCTTCTTTAAAATATTCTTTTTGTTGTTGTAATTGAACTATTCCCCATTTAATTAAATAATCCCAAAGTTCAATTTCCTCAATTTGTAAATTTTCTTGATTTAATAAGGCAACAAGAATATAATCTTCAAAATTTAAAAATTCTTTACTATCAAAAATTATTTTTGGGTCCCAACAAATTTTATCCATACAATAATTTTGTAAATCTTTACATGTTTCCCTTTTAAAGGCAACATGTAAAACTGTCGAAAAGTTCTTTTTTAACCATTCGGTTTTTACGTTAATTAAATGATCTTGAATTTGAACAAGTAATTCATTGATTAAAAGTTCATCAGATGCTATTAACAGATCAAGTATCGTTGAACCATCGTGTTGATCCAAAGGTAAATTTTTCGTATAAAAGTATCTAAAGTAAAAATTTTAACAAAAGTTTAATGAAAAAATATAATATAATATAGTATATATATATATACGTATTAGATTTTCTAACATATTAAAAAAAAAAAACTTACTCTAATATAATATAAAATACTGCATAAGTTATATTTGGTTTCTTTAGAATGATCTTTTCATCTTCTTTTTTAGCCCATGTCGTTGATAAAGCAACACGAAAATACGGAGAATTTTCCTTTAAAATACTAGAATGAACAAAAATTTTTTTAAAGTTAGGAAATTCTCCGGCCTGGATGACAACATCGGCATCAGATAAATTTCCAAAGTATGCGAAATTATTAGACATGTTTTTTGAGGGTAATTTATAATAATATGAGTATAGGGGATAAGTATGTGTATATTATATATATTATGTGTGTTATTATGAAAAATATGAAAAAAAAAGATGAATCTATTTTATTTATAAAATTCGGTTTTTATGGTTTTTTTTTTTAATTTTGACTTTTGAAGGGGACATCTTTGTCTTTTTATATTAAAAGACCACTTCGTCTTTTCATTATTTCCCATTGTTTATTCAAACACAACATTTTTATTTAGCCTGCCAAAATAAAATGTTGGACGTGGTTCCACACTTTTACGATCAACATGCGTGATGTAACAGATATTTTTACGGTAAATCTTAACTAGACTAAATACTTGTTTGTGGCTTTTAAGATTAAATAAAAAAAAAAAAATTTTTCCATCATAAATAATTATAAGTAACATGATATTATATAATTAATACTGACAAAATGACATCAATTCATTGTTATTCCCTACTTAAGCTTATAAGCTTATAATTTGGCTTTTTCGAAAAAAAAAATTTTTGCCGGATCAATCATTGAAACTTCCAGTTATAACCCGCAGCGGAATTGCACCCGACATGCAGGATGTTACACCATCATGGCGGATTTTTCGATTTAAACGTATCACAAGAAAAAAAACTTGATTTGCAAAAAGATTATTATTTTAGATTTGGTTAGTCATATTTATTATTATAAATAAATTTGAAACACGCGGGAATACTCGAATTACAAACAAAATTTATCAAATGTTCAACTACAACGCACAAACAATATCCCTCAAAGTTAAAGAATAAGAGTTCATGATTTTGTGAAACAATAAAAAGGTTTCCCCCTCAAAATTTGATTCCATTATAGTATTTAATATAATTTACTATTTTTGGTTTTGTATATAAGTAGATAATTAGCATTCCGTATAAAATATTCCTCTAAAAACAATTTTTTGGGATTTATAATATCCGAATACCTTACATGAGGTTAGTAGATCGATTTGCAAAGATACCCGAGTCCGCGATATACGGTATTACGACATTTGCACATTTCCTCACATGATGTTTATTAAGAATAATGGGTCGGGTAATTTATGATAAAAATAACCTATACGCGTCCTTTTATTATATCATTTTCCTTTTAAAGGAAAAGTTAATTTTGTCTAATCAAATTAACTGACTTTCCTCACAGGATTCATCATTTTGACATAATATCATGCGATTTTGATTTTTCTTAATCTATTTATTTCTATTTATTTACATTTTTTTGTCATTCTCAATGAATCGTAAACATTTCAACAGCCTACATTTAAATCATCTTCTCTTTCTTGCAAAAAAGTTCAACTTAAAAAAATATATTGCGTCACAGCCCAAAGTATTGTATATAATCATCTAGGCAATGATTTTCTGAATATTAAGAGTTTAAGACTATTATGGTACGAAAGTTGCGTTATTTAATTCTGATACTGCAATGCGCCACATAAATAATTCTATTTATTAGTAAATAATCATGATATAATTACTCTCACCCATTCTTTGTTTGTCCCTTAAAATATGAACTTTAAATTAAAGAGCTTAATTGTTTTCTTTCTTTATTAAATAAAATTAAAATTATAAGATTAATAATTAATTATTCCAAAATTTTCAAGAAGTTGCTGAAGAAGTTGTCGTTTTATTTCATAAGCTTGAATATATTATTTGAGCATGTAGATAAAATTTGAAGAGAACATAGAATTGAAGAAAAAGTAAATATTTTAAAAATTATATTTTTTTACTTTATATCATTTAGCTCTAATTTTAATAGTAACTTTATTCAATTATTTTTTTGAAACTAGGATATAATCAAACCCAACTAGAACTTAAAAGCAATAACGTTCAAATAGAAATGGATTGAGTAAATTCTGATCAGCTATCATAATCTTTTTGAAGATAGAACAATCCGAGCTCATAATGCGAGTTGGAATTGGATTTAGAAGAAATTATGGGTAAAGATTGTTAGCTTTACAAAAGAAATGTTCCGAATGAATAGCGAGCATCAAACACAAATAAGGTAGTTATATAAGAAAAATAATAGTTTATGATAAAAAGTCAAAAACATGCCAGAGTTAGTTCTCGAATTAATGTATACTTTTTATTTATCAGACGTAATCCTTTTATCAAGTAATGAATTTGCCAATTAAACCTTTTATAAAATTATAGATATTGGATCACTTATTTTATCAAATAAAATACTATACTTTTATGAAATAAATATTTTTGCTTCTTCGCTTAACTTTTTTTCACAAATTTTCAATGTCCAGAGCTAGCTAGTAAAATAAAATGAAAGTAATAAAAATACTGGAGTAGTTGACGTCTAAAAGGAGTCATATGATGACAGTTCCTTCCACTACTCCGCATTAGCTATCTATGTTCTTGTTAATTTTACATAAATCATTATTATCTAGTGTAGTGATATAACTATCCTTCTTATTAACATTCCTTTCATAAAACTCTTACTATAGTCTTCTTAATTTTCTCCCAAGTCCACGAATTCCATTGCCACATGAAGACACATCCAAGTTGAATATTTTTTCAGTCCTAATTCGATCAAAATTTACTTGAATTGGGTTCAGACAGTTGAATCTGATAATTTAAAAAAGATATTGATATCAAGTCTGTATTCAGTCATAACAAAAAAATTAGTAAATCAACTTCTTCGATCATGGAAGGCAAACAATAATTACTTACCAGAAGACTCCCGGAAGAAGAGCTATTTTTATTTTATTCTAAAGAGTGGTAATCCGTGTCCAATACAATTATTAAACAAAGTGAACTATCTGGTATAAAGAACTAGATTATTATCCCGACGCACCCTTCGGATAGCACAATTTTAACAGTAAAACTACGCTACTGAGAAAATGAATGACTATTCACCGAAAAAGATTGTATGCGATGATCTTGGGAATTATAATGGGAAAGGTCCAAAATCACGTGATTTCTATTTGCTAAGAAAATTTTTATTAAATGATAAATACAAGGGTGTGAACAAAGTTCTTGGCACATGACGTTTTTACACTATCCCGTTTGCTTAAGCAAACATCTTAAGGCCTATCTATTCCTAAATTCTAATCAAGATTATTCAACGATCTTACCCTTCTCGTTACCTATGGTAACAGCCGAGTCCGGCTTTCAGTGTGCCTCATCCAACAACCAAACAATATGGCTGAGAATTTTCCATATGTTCGGCATTATATACAACGAAAACTGATTTCAAGTGTGCATTTCATAAAATAAAGATCGGTTACAATCTCCATACTCTATCCATACTATATTCATCATCGATTACGTTAGCTTTGCGTTTACGACACGTTAGGTATGATTCCAGCTTGCGCAAAGCTTTGTTTAAAGTCATCTTTTTTGACTTCGACTAATTCCGTTATCTTCCAGTTGAACGACATTCTATCGCAAAATCGAGGTTTTCTTGCCTGTTATATCCCATGACAAGTTTTCCAGTATGATTTTGAAATTATTCTCGTACAATGATACCGCTGGCTAGGTAACAATACAAATAGATAGATTTGTCATATGCTATGTCAATGGGTGGTCTTTTTGCGAAGGTTCAATCACTTAGGTTAGCAGAATCACGTGAAAAAAATAGGATACGCGTCAATACTAGGATTCGAAGACCGTAACGGAATTGACACTTTCGGAAAGGTCCATTCGTTAAATGGCTTTGATGGAGCCTCAATGAATACAGTAAATTTAAGTTGATACTAGCGAATGCAACATCTCTCGGAATGAGACATCGTTCCTAGGATAATATCTATCCCCATCGTTCATGAAGCTAAATATCGCTCCATCATTCTCAAGTGCCGGTGGCTGGTATATGTAATCTTTAAGGTCTTTGGGTCGCATGTTCGATATTCACTGTCTACTTGGATGCAATGGCCTGTTACAAAAATTCTCACGAAGTCTCTTGATTCTTTATGGACATCATGACATCATGAACGGACTTGTTGATCAAATTCCCGAAGCGAGGCGAGCTCCTCAAGCAGTTCCTGTTCACTGCTCGAAGTGGCGGCAGTCACGGGCGGTTCGATATGCCTGAATACATTCTTCGGCTGATGAGTCAGGAAAGTATTTCGAAAATTTTCTTATTAAAAGGAGTCGGTATTGTGAGCAAGAGTTTTCTCAATTGATCGTCATGATAGCCAAAAATTTCTACTTTCCATAACTTTAAGTCCTTCGCTTTGACGTTTTCGGGAATATCTATCTCCTCTCTAATAATTTCAAAAAATAACTCGCCATCTATCAATGCTAGAAAGATGATTTTGATACCATTCGAACCATCTCGACGAAACGATCCTAATGGCGAGTTATTGTGACTTTTATGAGGCCCCCAACAAGCTCATTTCCATTAATATGGACAGGAAAAGCGTTTCGCGGTCGTATTTCATTCGACAAGTCAGAGTAAAGTGATAAATATTTCAGGTTGTATACTATTTTTTGTGAAATAATGGTGCAAACTAGGACAAATGAGATGAAATTTTATTTGCGAAAAAAAAACAGAGGTAAGGGTTAGTGATCAACTGATCATTCACGTGTGATCAACCATATTTGTAATCGTGAAGACACTACAGTATAAGTCATTTAATAAATCATTTTGTGGTATCAACCCTTAAACTTATTCCTTTCAACCCATTCCAAATCAGTAAAATCTATATGGTTATCAGTTGTGTATGGTGTGACAATCAAAAAAAAATTTTTTTGATATTTTTTTATATAAGCCGCTAAAAATTTTTTAGAGAAACAATTTATTCTCTGAATTATTTTTTGTTTAAGAGAATAAAATGTTATTGGACAATTCGATACTTGATACAATTTATAATGATTATTTGATACCATTTGCTTATCATGCAAATGTTACAGTGCAAAATAATAAGTTAATTGCACCTTTTGTTAAAGAGGTTTCAGTTAATACAATTTTATATTTATGTGCAATTGTAACCTTTAGTATACCACTATTATATATCTTAAATTCAATTCTTGTAAGTATTTTTTAGTTATTTAATATATTTTACATTTTAATTTACCGAGATTAAAAAAAAATGATTAATGATTAATTATGTATTAATAATAAAGTATGTTAAACGTAAACAAAATGAACCCCCAATTGTACCTTATTGGATTCCAGTTATTGGTTCAGCGATAACTATGGGAATGGATCCAATCAAATTCTACAGAAAATATCAACAAGAAGTAAGAATTTGGTTCTAAAGTTAATTTTAATATTAAAATTTTTCAATTTGAGTAATAATTATTTTTATATAGTATGGAAATTATTTTACATTTATATTACTGGGTAAAAGAATGGTAACATGTTTAGGGTCTGAAGGAAATAATTTTGTATTCAATGCAAAATTAGCAAATGCATCAGCTGAAGCAGCTTATAAATCTTTAACCGTACCTGTATTTGGTAAAGGTGTTGTTTATGATGTACATAATTCTGTACTCATGGAACAAAAAAAGTAAGTTATATTTTTCCAGGTTATTTAAAATAACAATGGGAAAATCTGAACTTTTTCTTTAATTAATAGATTTGTTAAAGCTGGATTATCAAATGAAAATTTAAGAGCATATGTACCAATGATTGAAATGGAAACTAAAAATTATTTTTCAAGATGGAATAAACAATCAGACATTCAAGACGTTCATAAAGCAACTGCTGAACTAATTATTATGACAGCATCTAAGTGCTTATTGGGAGAAGAAGTCCGTTCAAAATTAGATGAGTCATGTAATTATGTAATCTAATGATCGTTATATTATTTGTTTAAATCCACATAATAAATTTATTAATGTTTCTTTTTTTTGTTTATTAATAGTTGCTCAAATATTTCATGATTTGGATGGAGGGTTTAAACCAGTTAATTTCTTATTTGAAGATTTACCACTTCCTTCGAATAAATTAAGAGATCAAGCACATGTTAAAATGCGACATTTCTTTATGGATATTATGAAAGATCGTAGAGAAAAAGGAATTACAGATCGTACAGATATTATGCAATATTTAACAACACATTGTCAATATAAAGATGGAAGAAAATTATCAGATGAAGAATCAGCCCATATTATGATAGCAATGCTAATGGCAGGACAACATACTTCGTCCACTACAACGGCATGGGCATTGCTTTATTTAGCATCACAACCTAATTTATTTAATGAATTACGTAAAGAACAAATTGAAGTATTTGGAAGTTTGGATGAACCATTAACATTTGATGGTATTAAAAAACTTACACTTCATGATAATGTCGTTAGAGAATCTCTTAGATTACGTCCTCCTATTTTTAATGTTATAAGAAAAGTACTTAGAGATTTACCTATTCCTGGTACTCAATATGTCATACCAAAGGATTCTTATATTCAATCTATACTTGCTATTTCTCATCGTTCTGAAGGATATTTTGAAAATGCCGAAACGTTTAATCCTAACAGATGGGTTGACTTTGATCAAAATGTTAAAGAAAGGGATGACGATCTGGTTGATTATGGTTTTGGTGTTTTACATTCTGCTAGTGCAAAATCTCCTTTTCTTCCATTTGGTGCAGGTAAGCTTTAACAAGAAATTTCTTTTCTATTAAAGATAGACTAGCGTATTAATCTCATATGTATGTATATATTTTTTTAGGACGACATAGATGTATTGGTGAACCATTTGCTTATTTACAGATAAAAACCATTATTGCTGTATTCGTTAGAATGTTTGATCTTGAATTATATAAAAATAAATTTCCTGAATGTGATTTTACTACAATGATAGTTCAACCTAAAGATCCTTTAGTACAATATACTAGACGAGATAATTAGTATTATATTGTAAATTATATTGAAATGTAATTTTACATACGATATATTATATATTAACTAAAATTATTCAACAAATTGAATACAATTTACAATTAAAATTATTTATAATAAAAAATTGTAATCAAAAGTTACAACTTTTTACACTTGTTAATTCTTTGTGATAAGTGGCTAGCTACAAACAAATTATAATAAAGAAAGTTAATATATAATTTTGTTAAATTCTAATCAATTTTTTGAATAAATTGTATTTTTTTTTTTTAACCACAATGCATTTGATAGTTTATTAAATAGCGAAAAAGTATCGGTAGAATACAAAAAGTAAAAAATAACCTAAACTAACTCTAACATAATTAACACTCGTCATGCTAAAGAGCACCCCACGTGTGCACTATTGGGTGAAATTTTTGCTCAGAGGTGAATAAATTGTATTTATTAATTAATAAAAACAATTTAACCTTGTAAAATTTAATTTACCTAATATTTTTGTTTAAAACTTGTAAAAAGGCATTGCTAAATCTCACACCTCTCACACCAGCTTTAGCAAATATTAATGGGCAGAATTTCATGACATTTTTAATTCTGCCCAAAATTTTATCCTAATTCTAATCATATTTTTTTAAAATACAAGAAATTGAAATAGAAAACTTTTTTTCAGATACAAATAGATTTCTTTTAATTATAAAATCATTTAATCTGAAATAAATATTAAAAAAAACTTAGTTTTAACTACTATAATATCATTTAATTTTTACTAAAATTTGTAATTATTAAAATTAAAAGAGTATTACTAAATCTTACTGCAAATAATTCTTACCATACAACCACTAGCAAATATTAATGAGGTAATATTTTTAATTTTACTCTAATTTTAGTAAAATAATTATCAGCAGTAATATTTGTCAATATTTAAATAGTATATATTTATTAGAATTTTGCTAACTTTCTCTTTAGGAGATGTCACCTAGGTAACGTCATGTCGTCACCTGTACTAAAAATTAAAATTTATAACTTTTATAACAAAATTTTATTTTTAAAATGACATCATCAAATTTAATAACTCCAGCAAACCCAAACCTTACCTTAATCCTAACCCCTAATCATAATCCTAATCCAAACTCTAATCCTAATCCCCTAACCCAATCCCTAACCCTAACTCTAACTCTAACTAATCTACATGATTTAATTTTACATAAGTGATATCACCTGGATTAAATCACATGGAAAGAAAACTAGTCTTATACTATTTATTAAAATAATTTTTTACAAATAAGCTTTTGCATTTTTTTATTAAGCTATTTAAATATTGTTTTTTTTAAAAATTATTTTCAAATTATTATTTTTTATAATATAATTTTATTTATTATTGTAAATTTTCAATTAAATATATTTGGTATAAATTATAGGCCAATTTTAAAAGAAATGAAAAGTACCAAATGTATAAAATAAATTATGTTTTATATAATCTATAAGTTCTACTTAATTAACTTAATTATAAATGTTACTGAACTTATAAAATAAAAATATATATGATTTAAAAATGTAACTGGAAAGGTAGTAATCTTAAAAATTTTATGATGACTTTTATTAGAAGTAAGCGAAGTCTTAACACTGCTAAAAGCTGTAGTGAAATCATGTAAACTATCACAGATTCTTTGAACCCTTTAATTAAATTCTCAAAATAAAACTAATATATTTGCTTCAGAAAAAAAAAACACTAAAAGAATAAGAAAAAATTTCTGAAATACAAAAGTATATTTTAGTTATTTATTTTACAGTAATTTATTATTTATATAAATAAAATTATACTTTATTTAGGAATTAACCAAAAAAGAAATTGCTTATAATTCTATAAAAAATCAATCTTATCATAATATAAGCAATTTAATTCATAATAAAAATTCTAGTATTGTATTTATTTACTCTAATATGAATTTTCAACATGAATTATATTCTTCCACTAATATTTTGTAAAATTTACATGATTCACATATTTTTTTTTTAACAGTTTTTCTTATATTTTTCCTTTTACTTAATATTTTACAGTTTTTTTTTAATAACAATCAACTTTTATATAATCCTTATACAGTCAAACCTTGATATAGCGAACCCTTGATATAGTGAATTTTTCAAATAACTATAATAAATTTCCCCTTGCTATAATGAATTAACCAAACAAATCTCTTAAAATCTTCACTATAGTCCTATAATGAAGTTGAGGTCTGGAACCTAGAGTTCATTATAACAAGAGTTGACTGTATATACTAACTGCTAACTCACTTTTCAGACTCTTTGCTTACAGATTTACAATCACATAAATCACTTAATATGTTAAATTCACCTTTTTTCATGATAATTCACATAACTTACCTAATTTTTAATATATTTGGCTTCACATTATAAAGTTATTTAAATAAATAAATAATTGTTCATTTTTCTTAATAATGAGAAATTTTTTTTTCATAGAAAAATCTTTGAAATAAAATGAAATAAATATATAATAATAAAGAATAAAATAATAAATAAAGAAAAATTAAAATAAAAAAATATAAAAGTGGGCATTTTAATAAAATATCACTTTACGAATTTTGAAATTTTTTTGTCTAAAAAGATGTATATCTGATTATACAAGAAAATAGCACAAGAAAAATACATAAAAAGGGATGCATATTGTTGCATAATTTGATCATATAAGAAAATAATACGTAATTATATAAAAATAATACATTTGCGTCAAAGTGAAATAATGTCATTTGTATGTAAATTGCGTATCCAATATTTTATTTAAATAAGGTATATATGAAATAGACCAATAACCTATTGCCTCAACTTTTAAACTATCAGATATCTGGTCATGATATCATGAACAAAACATTAATATAAAACCTGATATATAAAAAGTTGATATCAGAAACTGTGATCATGGGTGTAATACTGTCATAATAAATATATAGTATGTAATTATAAATTTTTATGACTTAGTACATGAAATAAATTTACTTATTTAAATATTACATTCAGATTATTTTATTTTTTTTCTTCATGTTATCATGTATTATTTTCACCAAATATACATAAAAAGTAAAAATGCCAATTATTTTCTGAATGCTTCAATAATCTTAGATACTATAATAAGGAAAAATGCAGGGATAATCTTTTTTTAACAATTTTTATAGCTTATTAACCTGTTATTTGTGAAAATATATATCTTTTTAGAAGCAATCAAAAAAACCTTTATTTAAGAGTTTCTTAAATTTCTGACAATTTAGAATGAGAGGAAACAGAGCACAGTTGATACAACCAAAATGCCAGAAATTAAAAAGAAATGCAACATACAGATGTTAAGGAATTTTCAGGTAAATATATTTTATTTAAGTTATACTACTACTGACTATCCTGCTAATTGTATGCTAGGTTGCTAGTAATGAGAAAGATTATGTGCTTATTGGTGAGCAGTATTGTAATAGTATGTTAGTATTTGTACTTACCAACTACTTTACTGGTTATATGCTGGCAGTGAAAAAGGTTGCATACTTGTTGATTAGTATATAGTATTGGTAGTCTATCTTATGAGTTGCATGCTCATAAAGGAAAGGTTATGTGCTTATTCATCAGCTATATTTCTAGAGTTTTGTCATATTTCTTTATATACAAAATGATTATTAATTATCATTTAATTTAATTTTTATAAGGATAAAAAAAATTAAAGGAAATAAATTGTTTTTGAAATCTGCAGATTAAGTAACAAAACATTAATATGAGCTTTAAATTAGTTAAGAAAAGAAGGGAATTGCTTGAAAATAAACAAGTAAGTTTTTTTAAAATGAGTGACTTTTACTTTTTTATACCTTCTAACAATATTGTTTAAATAAAGGACGAATTGAAGAACTGAATTTGTCTTAAACAGATTAGTATATTATCTTTATAACTAATTTTATGATTATAATATCTGAAAATTCATTTTATTTTAAACTTGACATGTTTTGGATATGTTGATATAGGGCATGCCAGAAATTACATGATTTAGTAGGTAGGTAGGGTCAGGTCCTGCAATCAGGTGTCACAATATACCTTTTATGGTAATACTAGTATATTTTTTATAATAAATAATATATAATTTGTTTATTAAAAAGCTTTTTTCAAAATTATCTCACCATCTAAAAAGAGGTCTACAAAATAAAAAAAAGTTTATGCAAATTGAATTATTGGATAGTAAAATAATTGTATTATAATATATATGTAATATATAATAGTAATTTATTTATTAATAAGACTTTTTGCAATTAACTTACTATCTAGCAGTTCAATTTTAATGAATTTTTTTTTGTTTTGTAAAGCATAAAGTAGTCTATAAAACAAAAAAAAGTTTATGTAAATTGGATTATTGGATAGTGAAATAATTGTATTATAATATATATATAATATATAGTAATTTATTTATTAATAAGTTTTTTTGCAATTATTTCACCATCTAGCAGTCCAATTTCAAATTTTTTTATTTTATAAAGCATAAATGGGCTACAAAATGAAAAAAGTTTATGCAAATTGAATTATTAAATAGCAAACTAATTGTATTATAATATATATATATTAATATAATATATTATATATTATATGTATTTTTTTAGCCAATCAGAATTCAATCACATGATGGGTAAGAAGGATCAGGTCTTTAATTGAGCATAATCACATGATTTCTGGTATACCCCTAAAGACCTGAAATTAGTGTCTCTCAGTACAAAAAATTTTTACCAGAAAATACTTATTAGATGAGTTTAGTGAATATACTTATAAGGAGTCAGTAATAATCAATTCTTTAAAGTTGATTAATTGTAAGACTTTTTTTTAAATTTGATATATTGTCTTATTTGTATTTACAATCTTTATGTAAATTTTTCTGATATACTGCCATAATTAAAAGTAATGTCAAACTAAATACAAAAGAAATATCTCTAATTATTACAAATTTAATGAATCAGAATATGAACCCAAAAGGATAAGGAGAGAAATTAATACCTGTTATTCTCAGGTAACAAAATCTTAGCAATCTATTATACTGTATTTAATATCACTAATGATAGAAATCACTGAATCTTCAAGCTCAAATTCAAATTTAGGAAATTTAGACAGATCCAAGATATTATAATTATTTTTTTTTCAGATAATATTTATATATAAAATAATCATCTAATTCCAACTTACTTTTGAAAACTATCAAGAATAAAAGTACAAAATCACAATATAGGCTCTTTGCAGTAAAAAAGAATGAAACTACTGAAAAAATTTAAATTTTTTTTATATGTTAAAAATATTCTAAATGTTATAATTTGTTCAGATTTTATATTAACTTGTTTTTTTTTTTTAATAATTTCATCGTTTTCTACTGCAAAGTGTTTAATTATGTTTATGATGACTTTAATTCTTGTAAAAACATATGTCATAAATACTTTAATAAGGACATCTAATACTCATCTAATAAGCCAATTATTACAAAAGCTATATATAATGAATTTTCTTCTATACATTCATCTTGTTAAGGTAACTATTAGAAAATAAAAGTATGAAAAATTATAAATAATTATGCTTTAGATAGGAAACAAATTAACTATTGATGATTCAATAGTCAACAAGCTAAAGAGTAAAAATTATGACTATACTAATATTATTATTTATAAATCATTTATTATTCCACTATCATAAAATCTTACATATATACTATTAGGTAATTATGATGATTAATTAGATAGGCAGTATTATTATGAAATATAGATGCAGATTTTAAACGTTCAGGACAGGACAGTCTGTATCTATGTCCAAATATTTTACTGTTCTAAACACTTTATCCAAAAAATATAATTATGTGATTCCAAATAAAGATGAAACAGAATCTTAACATTTATCCTCAAAAAAATAATTTTTATATTTATTAAACATTGTCAATTTACCATATTTAATATTTTATTAATGAAAAAAAAATATATTTTTTAAAATATAACTATTTATTTTTCATACAATCAACTAGTATATTTAGAACTTCAGACATCACATATATAACTCATATTTGAGTTTTAACAAATTCAATCAAAATTAGGTTAAACTCATAATTTTAAATAAAGCAAATTGATTGAAAATTAATTAATAGTCATAATTATGAGTTTTAGCAAATTGTGTTGATTTTACAAAGTCATTTTATATTTAAGCAAATTAATACTTTTTTTAAAATTTAACTTATTTTTTTTTTTTTAACTTTTATAAATAATATTTTTAAAAGAAAATTTTAAAGTTTACACAGGATGTTTGAACACAGATCATATGAAATATAATGACACCAATGTCACATCCTTTTACTTTTTTATGTAATATATATATTTTTGACTACTCTGCAAGTTTACTTAAGGCATCAATGGGGGTTTTGAATGCTGTTTTTGACTTATATATAAAAAACTGTCTTTGCTAATTATTCTTAAATTTTTTTAAGAGTGATTGACAAAATCAATTATTCATAGGTAAAGTCAAAACTGACATTCAAAAGCACCTCTGATGCCTTAGATAAACTTATAGAGCAGGTAAAAATCCATTTATCTACTAATTTTGAAGTTTATACTATTAGTTGAAATGGCAATAATCACATGACCTGAGTTTAAATATCCTGTATACATTGTAATAACCGAAAAATACAATAAAATAAAATAAGGATAAATAATTAGCCGAAGGATGAATAATTAGCCAATAAAATTATATTTATAGTTTAGTTTAGTATAACGAGATAATCATATGATAATAGATCTTCAAATTTTATTAGAAATATTAGAAATATTAGAAATATTTTTCTTAAAAATGTATAAATACAAGTGGATTTCGATAGGAAATTCCAGAGTTCAATTTTTGGAAAATAAAAATTTTATTTCGTCTTTAATAATAAACAAACACATTCTTTTAGCCTTTTTCTTATGAGTAAAAAGTGCCACATTAATTATTTCATTTTAATTA